ATATTATTTTTTTAAAAGTCTTATAAGGAAGAATCCAAAATTTCTTCCTACCTTGCTGTCACATTTTTTGTCCTGATCAAAAGAGGGTCACCACTCCTAATGAGAAATTTGTATCCCAATATGAGCTGGTCGCTGTCCCCCCCAAAAATGGCCATCTACATTATGTAAACATACTACACACAAACCCAGAGAAAGAACATGCAAAGACAAATCATCCATTTCATACCAGGAGGTTTTGCACATAGGGGATAGTCAGTAACTGTTGGTTGACTTAATCAGTCTTATTAGTAGCTTCACCTCTTCCTTGTACACATACAGGCTTGAAAGAGTTCCTCAATCTTTTCCATAGTGTTGTTAATTCAATGGGTTAAACAGCTTTTTGTTTCTTTTCTTCATAGGACAGAAGAAAGGCAGTTCTGGATTGGATTTAATAAAAGAAACCCACTGAATGCTGGCTCTTGGGAGTGGTCTGATGGAACTCCTGTAAGTCTTTTCCGAACTGGAGAAATGCAGATGAGTTCCAAACACATGGTTCTGGAGCCACTTGCTGACCCAGCCAAGCCCAGTGGAGAGCTGTGAATGAACTAAAACAGCCCGTTGCCTTTAAGTCACCCCCAACTCATGGGAATCCCTGTAGTGTCTGTGTGTTCCACAGGCCTTTCAGTGGCTGCCTTTTCAGAAGTAAATCACTAGGCCTTTCTTCTCAGACATACAAGGACTCTGTGAATGAACTAAAACCCTGGAAATAATGATTATATCTTGTTAGGTTGTTGTTATGTGCCATCAAGTAGAAGCCAACTCGAAGATCACTATCAAGCAGACTTTCAGAGGCTGTATATTGCACGGAGGAGATTGCCGGTCTTTCTCCCACAGAGCAGCTGGTGGATTTGAACCTCATTCTTTTGAGTTGGCTGTGCAGCTCCTTACTATGAGGCCACCAAAGCTCCCTAAGTTTGATACAAATAAAAATAGCTTAGACCATGAAACGTTCACGTTTTTTCCAGCAATTTCCTAGAAAGCCTTTGCTAGCCAGACCATTCTGAAAGACCATTGAAAGAAAAATCTCTGAAAATGCCATCAAACCATTTCTCATGTTAAGTGTCAGGCATAGAAGGTACTATTTTTTAAAGGTACTATTCTGTCCTCCCTCTCTTGGCTAGCACCAGCTGGGGTGGTGTTTGTGTGGGGAGAGGAGCCTTTCCTGGAAGCCACCTTAAGCTTATTTCACTCTAAAATGACAAAATGCTATTCTTAGAAATATTACCTTCTTCTTACCTTAAAAAAAGTTGTTCCAGAAGGAAGAAAGACTTGTTTTTCATTCAGTCTATAGAAGCAAACCTCACTAAAGGAGAGAGAAAACATACTGTTATTCCTCCTCCCACCCCCGCCCATATACAATGAGGACTTCTTGTTATTTCTCCATATTTTAAGAAAAAAACTGAAGCTGTTTCCCAGGTTAAAATAGATTAAATCTTACTGCAGATGCAAAATCTAGTTACTAAATTTCTCCCATGAAATAGGTAGACTCACTGATGTTGACTTCATTCTGACGCATTGTGACCCTACAGGATAGAGTAGAATTGGCCCACTGGGTTTCTGAGATTATAAATCTTAAAGAGTACAGACTTTCCCATTTTTCTCCTGTGGAATGGCTGAGAGGCTCCAACCACTAACATTTCTAAAAGCCCAACACTTAACCCACTGCACCACTGGCCTTGTTCTGATGACCGAGAGATCACCAAAGCCAAACCCACTGTCACCACATCAGTTCTGACTCATAGAAACTCTCCATATGGTTTCTAAAAAGAAATCTCTACAGGAGACTACTCATTTTTGTTCCTGGTAGCAGCTGGTGGATTTAAACTGCCAACTATTCAGTGAGCAGCTTGATACATTGTGTACTTTCCCTTCAGGGTTCCTTGACAGGGAGACTAGCAAGCATTTAATGACAACTGTCATATACTGAGCTCTTAGAGTCATAATGTTCTAAGCACTGAGCTTTAATATTTTTTTGCATTATCTCCTTTAATCTTTACAAGGACCCAGTTCCGTGCAATATTAGGGTGATTAAATGATAGGTCTAAACACAGTTGAGCCAACAGGTTATCTGAGTCCAAGACTTCAATGTTATAATGACTCTCAGTTGGAAAAATAACAGTTAAGTTTAATAGCAATAGGAAAGAAGAGCAATAGGAAAAAAAGAGATCTCTAAATCTGCTACATAGGTACTTGAGTTATGGCTAGCAAGGGATTTTTAGAAAAGCTATATGACTATTATTGGAGCAAAAGTAATGTTTAAGGCCATGCTTTCTTTAGAAATTGCAGCTAGAGTGCTCCTTACAGGCAAGAATGGTAAAGGTTCATCTCACATACTTCGGGCTTGTAGTAGGTGGGGTATTTCTTGGAAAGGTCAGCAGAAGAGCAAATGAGCCTTAAAGAGACAGATTGACACAGTGACTGCAGCAATGGACTCAAATATGTCAGAGATGATAAGGACGGCACAGGATAGGACAGAGTTCAGATCTGCTGTTCATAGGGTCGCTATGAGTTATACTTTACTCAAAGGCACCAAAGAACAGCAATAACTTTTTAAAAAGTAGATAATAATTCACTTTCTACCCCATTACTGTGAGGGAAGGATGGACAATCTCCTCCTGTGCAATTAAACTCTCTCTGAAAATCCACCAGAGGACAGCTATGGGTTGGTTCCAGCTCTACAGTGTACCACAAAAACAAACCCCCGATTCCTGCTTTTTTAAAACTGAGATTAGAATCTGAGAGTGTTAGGATACCTTAGTGATCATCCAGGCCCATCCATCGTTTTTGCTGATGACGGAACTGAGGCTCAGAATGAGTATCTGAGCGGCAGGTATTATCAGGAGGAGCATGGCAGGTAGGCAGGCCTTGTGGAGGGCAACCACTACATTGACCGATTTGAGTCATTAACGTCAGTCTGGCACTTGAAAAAGGAAACATGGCATATGGAAGTTGAGAATGCTTCATTTTGTTTTATCAAAACACACCTGTTGGCAACAGTAGAGAAATATACAAATTGGTACAGATAAATATGAAAAAGCCATAAACAACTGCTGATTGAGTTTATCATCACTACCTACTAAAAAAATGAATTGAAACTCTTAGCATTGTTTGCAATTGAGATCACTTAGGTGAGTTGTTATATGATTGTATACATAGGTGAGAGGGTGTGTAAATAGTTTCTAAATGTCCTTACCCCCCAAATGTTTACCCTAGTTCTACTTGTAGTATGTCCATTATTCTCTGAGCCATGTAATGGTAGAGAAGATTAAATCTGTACTAAATGTCCCTATTATGTGACCATCAATAGAAAAGTGTTTTGTACATTAAGTTATTAATGCTAAGGGTGGCTTAGAATTTAGCTATTAGAGACTAAAAAATTATTATTCATGCAAAAGGATTACACATCAAAGCGGCACACAGGCCTTTTATATCCCTAAGCTCTAGGACGTTTCTCCAGGATCCAAAGCTAGACTAATCCTGCCAGTTAGAAAGCAGAAGTTCAGAATGATGTCTGCATCTGACTTGCACCTTCTAAAGAAAAGAGCCGGATGCTTATTTTTAACAAGAATCTGTGCTTATTAGTTGTGAGAAAACCTTTTTTTTATCTTTTGAAATCTTTTGTGGGTGAATCATCATTAAGGAATAATGAACTTCATCTGCTGTAGGTCGTCTCTTCATTTTTAGACAATACTTACTTTGGAGAAGATGCAAGAAATTGTGCCGTGTATAAGGCAAACAAAACATTACTACCTTTACACTGTGATTCCAAACGGGAATGGATATGCAAAATTCCAAGAGGTAAGAATATGAGTAAGATCTTCACTATGTGTTTGCTTTTTAGTGTTCTATAGCATTTTCCCAAGAAAAGATCTCTGGTGGCATAATCCATAGCAAACCGCAGTGCTGCTAGTCCAAAGGCTGTGGCAGCAGGTCCTCAAGGCAGGCAGTCTCATAAAGATTTGCAACCAACAGAGGGTTCCTTTGAGTGGAAACTCCATTGGTGGTAGTGATTTGTTTGAGATGTTTGAAAGCTAAGGCATCCTACACCAGAGAAGCAATACTGGCCTGATAAACTACACTGTACTAACTCTTGTATTGTGTGTATGGTACATATATATGTAATAAAACCTTTGCCATTTTACAATCTTCATATGTACAGTTCAGTGGCATTAATTATGTGCATCATATCATTTGTCCATCAACTTTAAGTACAACCTGGTAGAACGCTCACCTTGACATTAAAAGCAAACAGAATTAGTTTTAAAAATAAGGTTGTTGTTGAGAACTGTCAAGTCTGAACTAACTCATACCAACCCTTCAGCGGTGAGTCACACAGGAGGCGATTACCCACCTTTCTCCCATGATGATGGATTTGAACTGCATACCTTTGGGCTGCTAGTGCAATTCCTTACCCCTAAGCCATCATAACTCCCTAGACAATTAAAAACACCTAACATAGTGTCCGGTGTATAATTGGTCCACAGTAACTGTCCCTTCCTTCTGTATTCTGAGGCCTCTTTTTAATTTCCTTTTAAAGAATGAAAATGGCCCATATATTATAAACATTACAAAGTGCCTGTTTTTAAAAGGATTTTTTTAAATGAAAGTAAAATAGAAAATACTAGTTTTGAGCACATGAAGATATCATGACTCTATAAACAAAGCTCAAAGTGATTTGTTTTCACTTCACAGATGTGGAACTCAAGATCCCACAGTGGTACCGGCATGGTGAGAAAGGATTCCAGGTGTTCCGGGGCTTCCTCTGTATAATTTACATAGAATTTCCCAAAGCAAGCCTGCCTTCTGTGAATCTAGAGCTAATTTATTAAAATGAATCAATTAATAATAAAGAATTAGATTAATAATGCCATTAAGTAGGATTAAATAAAGCGGATGTCTCTTTCCATGATGCATGATTTTCAAATATGTATTTATCCCTGGCCTTTGAATAGTAGAGGTTTCACATATAAGACCAAGGAAAATAAGGCAATGATGTATGTGTGTGTGTGTTCACTTATAATTAATGATATTTGTATAAACATATATGCTGTTGTTGTGTGCCATCAAGTTGGAACTGACCCATAGCTGACCCTCCAGTGGGTTTTCAGAGACAGTAAATTGCATGGAAAGAGATTGTCCATCCTTCTCCTTAGAACCCCCCACACACCTTTAGGTTTGCAGCACAGTTTCTTACCACCAGGCCACTAGAGCTCCAAATATATATATATATATATATATATATATATATATATACACATAGATATTTTTTTAACCTGAGTGACTGATACAATTACACAGATAGTCTCTATAACAGTATAGATCTCCCAATTCTGTTTTTTCAATGGTTTGTGAATCACTGGTGGTGTTTACTTTTCTTTCAGATGAACCCTGGCTCTTTTATCAGGACGCTGAGTACCTCTTTCATACCTATGCTGGAGAATGGGCCCCCTTTGAATTTGTGTGCAGTTGGCTGCGTGGTGATCTTCTCACAATTCATTCTGCACATGAACAAGAATTTATCCACAGCAAAATAAAAATGGTACTTACAATTGCCTATGTAAATTCAGCACTTAACTCTTCCATCCTGGGTAGAAAAAAAATTTTTTAAACCTGACTCCAGACATTTATTTACTTTTCATTTAAAAACCATAGATTGTTAAGAATTGTTTCTCTTCCTGTTATAGAGATTAAGAAAGAGTAATAAAAGAAATCTCTATATCAGGAAGGAAAATGAAAATTATTCTTTCTTAATCTCTTTAACAGGAAGGTTTATCCTGAAGGTCCGTTTTGCTTCTCTTTATTCATTATTAGCAACAATAATAAGCAGAGTTTTATTGTCTTTTCACGGTATTTTGATTATCCATTAAGCTCATGTTTGTTGAGCCTACTTTCCTAGGGACTGTGGCTATAACAGTGACTAAAGCACACTAAAATTCCTGCCTTTATTCCTGATATACAGTCTGGGGTGGTGGGGGAAGACTACATATAGTCTCTATAAGTAAATGGAATAACATATTGTCTTAGAGAAGATAAAAGGGCAATATTTGTATATTTCTAAAGATTCAATATTCATAAAATTGGTAAGGAATCATTTTCCATCTCAGTTTAAGATTAAATAAGAATAGATTTAATTGAGGAATCAGGCTAATTAGGAAGGAGAAGGCAAAATCTCTTTAAGTAATGAAATAGATGGCCAAGGAATAGTGTACATTTATTATGAGATATATGAGCAGAGTTTAGGGCTGTTGTACATAGGGTCGCTATGAGTCGCAAACGACTCGACAGCACATAACAGCAACATATGCCAGGTATTACAATGTTTCCTAAGGTCACAGAAATGCATGAGATTGTTTCAGAAGACTCAGAAATAGAGCTGGAAATGATGTAGTACATTCAGAGGCAAGGGCAAATTATGTACAAATTACTAGAAAAGCATCAAAGAGGGAATGCCTCCCTCTCAAATTCCTCTTGGAAACTTCTGAATGGAAGATGTGCTCTTTGTTTTTATTTCTTTTCCTATAATTTAACCATATTTCTTGATCTCCAGAAGATTTTCAGCTCTATTATCTTTGTATGCATTTGCCCGTTGACTGTAACATGAAGCTCTGTATAAAGCACTCGAGGCTTTTAAGAGCAATGTCTTCCCTTACTGCCCTTGGGGATTTACAAATTCTGTAATTCTTCTCTGATGCTCAGGAAGCCTGTGAGGTTCAGACAGGTCACCTCTGCTACCTATTATGATGGAAAATTGGAGAAACAGTGGAGTGAGGTAAGAACCTCACTGTCCCAGAGACTGAGGAACAGACCCAAAGTTCCCCGCTATGCTTTTGAGCTCTATTTGCCATCCTTCCTCTCCTTCAAAGAGTACACTCAGCCCAAAACTGTACTATTAAATATCAGCAAATTACATGTCATGATGTCAGAAAAAGAATTCTATATTAGCCCAGTCATGGAACTCTTCACCTCACAAGAATCAAGTGAATGGTCAAAACTCATGAACCTTCACAAAATGTATGTCCCAGTAAGAGCTGACATGTCCCAATAAGAGCTGATATTTGGCCAATATTTATCAGATTCTTTGCTGAGTCCTTAGTGACATTTCATTTTCTCAAGAACCCTCTTTAGGAAGACTTTAATTAGCTGTATATATTTTGTAGAGAGGAAACAGATTTTGAAGAGGTTAAGCAACTCAACATGGTTACATAGCTGCAAAGAGAAAGTGCAATTTGAAAGTAAATCCATGACATCTGAATATAAGATCACTTAAAAACCCTGTACATTGCTACCCATGCATGCATAACAGCAGTGCTTGAGGGCGTATAAGAGCACAGTGTCCTCATTATGGTTTACTGTTTCTAAAAGTCCCTTCTTAAGAAATAGCCACCAGTTCTACCTCATAAATGAACAGTCTGGGATTCCTTTGGTCTTTCCAACAGAGCTTAGCTTTTCTAGGAACCTTTACAGGTTTTCTATCCTCATCTTTCCCTTAAGTCACTTTCTTAATCTTTGGGAATTGGGAAGCCAGTGTGGATCATGAGATTAATGACTACTACAGAAATAAACCATAAACTCCCAAGAATATATCATTTTGAGAAACCACAGTAGTGTCATGTCGTAGACTTGAGACTCTCACCTCAAATTAGATACACTTTGTGGTGCCCTTTATGGCAAAATAGCTACCCCACTTTTGGTCAGATTAATATAGTATAGCTTATCAGTGGTTATAGGTGATCTATCAGCTGCTCTAACATCCTTCTGTACTACAAAATAAATTTATTCCAGAGTGTGGACTATGGAGACTAAATGAAGAAACATAAGAGCCAAAGGGGTTTCAAATGCTATGGAAGGCTATAGTTATATCAGAGAAGTGAACTTAAATTTCCAAATCAGTTCTTATTTCTGTATAATTTATGCCTCTATCGGACACTGCTTTGTGGTGATAGTAGTATTTATAATGGCCAATTACATTTCATATGCAAGAAATCACATATGTTAAGGATACCTTCCTGGCATGGGTTAATCAAAGAAGAGATGTTTTATTTATAGTGTGCAGAACTAAATGCATAGAAGTCATACCTTTCACTTTTGTGGCCCACGCCTCCTATAAATAACAATTCAATATTCTTGAACAAGCATTTCATACAGTTCCTCTGTAGTCAGATTTAGAGTTGTAGAAAAATAAACATAAGATTTAACTAAAACATAAAAGAATTAATCATTGAACAAGAAAGCTGGATGCAGTTTTAAAAACTGAAAAACTAAAAAAAAAAAAAAAACCAACAACAACAAAAAAAAGCCCACCAACCAAAACTGAAGGACTTTTCTTTTTTAGTAAAATACTTCCATATAGGAAAAGAAATTAGTTGGATTTTTTTACTTTTACTTTTCAAGTAACAGATAACCAAAGACCTTATGAGAGTAAATTGTTAAGAAGGGGTTTTTTTTATTATTTTATTCTATTAGTTTATTTACAGAATCCAAATACATGGTTTTTCAGACCAGATTCTTCGAATTTCCCTCACCCCCTCACCCATCAAACTGTACAACCCCATGATTAATCCCCCCAACACACACATCCTCATCACTCTGTTTCAACCCTTCCCGTCCACCTTGGATCCTCATACTCATTCTACAATAATGGTTTTATACAATTTTTTGTCCTTGTGGGACAAAGTTAGTTCACTCAGCATAACACTCTCCAGTCCCTCCCAAACTGGGTAATAATTTACAAAAATCATTGTTCCCATGTGCTGTGTAGTATTCCATTGTATGAATGTACCATAATTAATTCTTATCTGGCACATTTTAATCAGATTATAAGTCAATAAAGTTTTTAAATTATTTTATCAGTGCAATAAAATAAAAGAGGAAGAGAAAATGAGAGGAAAACACTCAAGAAGTTATTTTTAAGGCATCTTGACAATCAGATTGCTGCCTTAAAATAAAGCTTCAGGTTCCTAAGGAGTTGGGTGATGTGAACTACTGATAATTTAATTCACTTAGCTAACTTTTTAAAAAATTTTAAATTTTATTATTTTTCGTGTGTGTACCATCAAATCAGATCTGACTGGTACAGGAGGAGACTGCCCCTCCTTCTCCAGCAGAGCATCTGGTGGACTCAAACCATGTACCTTTGGGATTGTAGTGCAGCTTCTTGCCACTAGGCCATAGCTAAATTTTTTTTATGCTGGTTATTTAATATTTTCCTTTGGAAACAGTGGTTTGCTTTCATTTTTCAATATGCCTCTAACAAAAATATATCAAAGCCTATTCTCTTTCCCTACAAACTGATGTTTTAAATATTTAAAAGAAATTGAATTTGCTATTTTTTATTAAAATGTTTTGAAATATTTAAGTCAGGTTGCTTTTCTTCATACTGTTTAATACATTAATATATAACTGTTGCATTTGAATTATGGTTGTATGTTATAAAATACAACTGATATTATAAAATACATGATTGTATCACATTTCTTTATATCAAAAAGATTTTTAAAAATCTTTTCTTGTTATAACTTTATATGGAAACATAAATACTAAACATATTTCACAGTTAACTTCAAACTCCTTATACTGTGAGAGTCTGTTCCTTGTCACAACAGGTTGTGATATGCCATGTGGAGGATTATCGTCTTATAATTGAGGTGGTAATAAATATGCCACTTACAATGCAGTGGTTATAATTTTTCTTTAGAGGTCCTTAATTGGGGCAGTGAACAATTGGGCCATGCTTTCCAGGACTATAGCACATGAGTCCTCTTTAGATTGAATGAAATTGTTGTGATTCCCCCACTGAGCTCACAGCCAGTCTCAATGGGCCAATTCCAAAGTCTGACAATGGGAATCTAAATTCAGCATGTAAGAACACATCCATGAAATAGCACCTCAGGGATCCAAAATTACAGTTGCTCTGTCTTGCATTATTCTCAAATCGCTGATATGGCAGACAGCCACACTGTTTAAGGAGAAAAATACCTGTTTATAAATTAGAATGTTGGCTGTTTGGTTCTATTGTGTGATGACTTGAACCTCCCAAGGCAAAAAAATATATCTCCCTATATTCCCAAGCCTTTACATAAGAAGAGAGAGTGCAAATTTAAATGTATAATGCATCCAAATTAACAGACTTTAGCATATAAAATTCCATTATATTGTACTATATACATACTCCCTCCCCTCCAATAAAGTATACTGATTTAGAGTTCTTCAAGAAATTCTGACTGCATCTTCTTCTTTTATAGTTAAAGAGGGAATTCAAATTTCCTGGCTCATAAGGCCAGTATAACAAAATGGTCTAATGTGTGTGAGTGTGTATTATTTCAGTTTTATACTTTATGTCCATGTGATTAATACTATTGTCAAATTAATAATATAAAGGATAATTTTCTAGTTGTTAAACACTGCAAATGTCTGTAGTGTTTGTTCTGTATTTTATCTGTTTCAATGAAATCCCAAAACTAGATCCACTGCCATTGAGCTTGTTCCACATTATGGCAACTCCCCATTGAGTTTCTGTGCCTCTAAGTGTTTGGGAGAGGAGTCACTTCATTTTTCTCCTGGCAACTGACTGGTGTATTTGAACCACTGATCTTTCAGTTAGCAGATCATAACACAGTATGCTACCAGTGTTTCTTCTCTGTTTCCGAAAGGAACTTTTTAATTCTTAAAATTTTAACAGTTGGACTAATGCCTAAAATTAAAAATCCTTTTACTGCTAATGTCTTCATGCCATGAATTATTTTTAAAATAGATATGATAAATCCATTGAACTGCTATAAGTCATTGAAAGGATAAGCCACTAATTTTTCTATGCAAGAAGGAAGCCATTCTTCTAATTTACCTTGTCATTTTACTCTTTAAATCCCCATTACAGCATTAGAAAACTTACTTTAAATACAAGGGAAAGTTTCAAGACAGATACAACCTATTAGATTAAGCTAGTAGTATTTTCAATATTGATCCAAATTTTTCTCCATATTAAGCATATGTTTTAGAATAATGAAGCTTCAGGTTTTCTCCGGATTCTTGACTTTCTTACACTTCCTTAGTTAATTGGATACAATATTGAATAACAGAAAGCTATTAACAGCAGCCCCATTAATCTTAATACTGAAAAGTGGGAAGGAAAAGTAGAATAAAAGCTGAGGTTTCTTTATTTGTTTGGTATTTATTTCTTCTTCTTTCTTGCTAACTAGCTATCAAAATATGGTGTAAATTGGTGGATTGGACTTCGAGAAGAAAGATCCAGTGGTGAATTTCGGTATGGACCCGGATTACTTTGTATTTCATTTTACTTGACAGATGCTTATTTGTAAATGATTGGTCTAGATCTTGGTGATCAATTTGTAAAACCACCTGCAAGCATTACATTTAATGTAAAACTTTTCACTTTTCTAACTCAAGACTTTAGTGTCTTTTTTAAATTTCATCAGACTATGTCTCTAGTCCATACCTGGGGCTCCAGGAGTGTGTGGGTGATTGAGCATAGAGAACAAGAGCTTAAACTTGTTCATTTTCCTGCAGGTGGAGAGATGGAACACCATTAATATACCAAAACTGGGACAAACAAAGCAGCAGGTCTGTGACTAATCAGACCCAGGGGTGTGGATTCATTTCAGCCATAACAGGTCATTCTACTCTTCTTTTGGGGGGATTTTTAATACACACAGATAATTTTCAGGAGTCTTAAAGACTTCTTTATACTAGTTTGGCAAGAAGGTTTTGTTTCATCATTTTCCTTTTTAGTTGACTATGTTACATTTTATTGGCCTTGGGCTTCAGGATCACCTCCTAATTAACAGTGGATAGGAAATACACTAATAACCCAAAAGTGGTGTCTGTCTGGTGGTTCAAATTCACCAGAGACTCTTCAGAAGAACGATGGGCAGTCTCTTCCAGTGCGCTCTACAGTCTCTGGAAACCTACTGGAAGGTTAACTGTTGTAAGTCAATTTTTACTCAATGGCAATTAGTTTAAAGGTAATTTGTTTTAGTTTATGTTTTTGAAAAATAATTTATATATGGCTAAGTTCTTCCTCTTGCATCAAGATAGGACCCAAGAAACACCCATCAAAACTATTCAAAACTTATGCTTTATAAATGCTATTGTCTACAAAGTTTAAGTATGAACCTATTTTTTTTTCCTTTTTTTAAGCTTTCTTTTATTTATTTATTTATTTTTAAATTTAGGTTGTTTATTTTTCATTTCAATGAACATCTACAGAGATTTTGGGATTCCATTCATTCATTGTTGCACCCTTCT